CCCCCCGTGTGCGGCTCCCGCACAAAGCGCTACTTTAGAAAAGTGCTTCCGTGTCTTGGGTTCTGTAGCTGCCACACTTTCAGGCTGTCTATCACATCTCTGAACGGGCGTTTCCAGAGGAGGTACTGACTGCGCTCTCCGTCTCCCGAAGGTCTTTTTGGTTCTTTCTCGTCATGGACACAGAAAACAGAAATCCACCGCACGTTCTCTCGTACCACATACTTAATTTCTTCCTTCGTTCAACCTTGTCAGCTCGCTACTCGGTGCCCCCAGTCTCTCCTGCTGTGTGACACGCAGGCCACCCCTGCGCGTCTCAAGGTCCCCGCTGAGGCCGCCCGGGCTGCACTGACGGGGAAGAAAGGAATCCTACGGGCCACCGAACAGAAGTCCGGTGAGTCCTGGGCTTACCTTCACCCTACAGGCCCTGAGAAGCGTCGTTAACATTACCGACGGGAAGAGGGCTGACAAAGCACCGCACCCGCGCGCGTTCCTTCCTATGAGCGCGCGCTATGAGGTCGTTCTGAAGGAAACTTGCTTTTCACGTGCACTGGGCAGTGGAACTTACCACACTGGTGACAGCAGGGAGCGAAGAGCATCTGAAAGTCATGTTCACAATACTTCCTCCCTTCAAACTGAAACAGAAAAGCACCAGCGACTTGTAAATGGGAAACAATCCCGGGGTGAATGGAATGTTTCTGCAGAGACTGTAGGAAAGAGGTTTCTGGACTAGAGCTGTGCCCAGAATCTGTAATCCTCCTGAGATACGTAAAGGCAGACACACTTTGGTACCTTCCCGGCACCTAGTGTGGGCACAGGAAAGACCCGCTGCGGCCGGAACTGATCCTCTGCCCCCAGAGAAGGGTGAGCTCCTCCCACAGACACCCCGCCGGAAATGTGCACAAACCTCCCCCCACGTTGAAAATACGTACTTACGAACAGTAAATATGCTAGCATATTTTTAAAAAATGTAAACATTTTTAAATGGGGCCAAAACCTGTTTAAAAAAATATCCTTTTCCTACAGGTGGAAAATTTATCCTTCATTTCTCTCCTTGAACTGTTTTCCTTTCATTTCCCCCCAAAAGTTTTATGCTACAACAATACTTTTTCCACCAAGGTCTTTAACTGATCATCCTACCATATTTCTCTGCAATTAAAATGTATTGTGAAACTTTAAAATTCGTTTTACTTTCCAAATCCATAAGGCCCTAAAGGTTAACATTCTTCTGGATCAAGTTATCAGTACAACGATTATTGGTATACAAACGATGAAAACATAGGTATGTGACGAATGCTACATTTTATTCACTGTTTAATTATTTACATGAGAAGCAAACCCTAATGAGATGAGCAGGGCCACTCTTTACCCTCACCATTATTTCATGCTTCCATGGATGAAGATGACTGACCACTGGAAGACTCAGGGTTCAACATTAATTCTAGATTTATTTTCTATCTTGGGGGTTGCTTGTACCCTTTTCACGTACATAAGTCGTGAGAATTATATAATGCGTCCCTTTGAATCTCTGAGCTCCTTACAAGTTATTTGTCAAAATCACATATTGTTTGATTATCAAAATCCACGCTTAATGATGTTCCAGTTGTCAACTCAGTCTCCTCAATTATGGAAATTGGCTGCAGATTTAGCTCGTTCAATTTATTGACCATAATCCCCTACAGCTGAACTGGCATTCTGGGCAAAGCAGATCTATCTTGTGCCAGAAAAAGTCTTACTTCATTTTTAAAGTCAAATGAATGAGCTCTGATACATTTCATGAGTCTAGTTTTTAAAGTTACAAACAGAAGATATTAACTCGATACACTATTACTCAATATTCCGGCACATCCCGTCACAGCGCATCGTAACGTGTAGCCCAAAGCAGAAGTCATTTATAAGTGAGATACGTTCCTTTACCGAGTGGACATTGTGTCCATTCATAGAAATCTGATATTGAGCTTTTAGCAGTAATTTGTTAAAGAGACATAATATAAAAATGCAGAAATAACTGTATTTAGAAATGATCAACTTTTTACCTGCCACCCCGTCTTGTTCAGTGGAGGAAGGAGACTCAAACTGTCTCAATTTGCCACTTAAGTTTACTAGTGAAAGGCTGGGTAATGGTAACAGGCGTCGTAAAGCCTTCAGAAGGACAGTGTTTTGTGGCTTGTGTGCACGCGTGAGTGGCAGTTTTAATTTATCGGTTTTTAAAATCAGTATTTTCGATGGAAATAACTCGATCAAAGATCTGTCACAGACTTTTGAGACCCATTAAAATCAAGTGTAAGGAGAAAAATAAAAGAAATGATCAGCAATGACTCTGCATTTAATGAAAAGAGAAAGACACATATTGCTTAAAAAAACAAAGCAAAAGGAGGCCAGCAGTTGGCATATATGCTGTATTTGTTAGTAGAAGACTGAAAAGCTTAGGGCCGGTTGTGGTTGGAGTAAGTCTTTAAAGCTGTGATTCAGGAGGTCAGGACACAGTGGGGCTTAAGGACCCTGCCGTGGGCGCAGCCCGGCTGGACGGCGACCCGCCCGGGGCTCGGTGAGCGGTACGCCTGCTCTGCTCGGCTCCCACCACGGCCGCCCTTCCGCAGCCTCTCTGCACGCCTCTCTCTGCCTTAAAACGACGAGTCCTTTTGGAATTAGAGGACGAGATTAGGGCAAAGTCCTAAAAGACCGTTGTCCCGACGACTCCCCACATTCCCAAACCTGCCATCTATCTGCATACAGAACACCCAATACGGTTCCTCAGCTGGGCTGCATCCTTAGCAAGAGAATACATAAGGCCAGGAAAGGTGGGTAGCCCTGTGGGTTTAGGGACCCCCCCAAAATATCTTCTGACTGGGGTCCTAGAGCAATTCATCAGAGTAGGATTTCACATCCCTTCCTTTCGTCAAGGGCGAGGACTAAGCGCTATTGGGAATACAAAAATACCATCAGGCAAATCGATTTTAGGATGAACAGTCTCTGAGACCAGAATCTGAGGGTGCAGAAATGGGCCCTTGAAGCCATCCCTATGGCACACCCCCCTGCATGTCCGGGGTGTGCTCCCCCAAATGAAGACTTCTGAAAAGGGAGAGCTTCTTTTGCTAGAACGAGCTGCCTCTTTTCTAAGCACGTAGAAATGGCTCGATTTCTGAGCGCAGGAGAAAGGCCGGAGGCTGATCCAAAGTAAAACTCTAGGGTGTGAAATGAAGAAAAGTCAGAACGCATCAAGTTGGAAGAATCAAACTTCCATGAATACTGTCTTTCTAGGTACAACCCAGAACTGGTTTATCATAGAACAAGTCTGTAGAATAAGAAAAATTAATGCTCCAAATTCGCAGCGTTTGACAAAATGCCAAAGCAGCCTGGGACCCGCCAGGATGGGGAGGGGACCCTGGCCAAGAACAGTCCTGCTTTTAATGGTTCTAGGTTTGGTCTGGAGTCCCGTGAAGATTCTCTTTGGGGGTGAAGAATCCTGCCGGTTTAAAGAAAGCTCAGAATTTGAAACTGTGCTCATGGTCTCACCTCCAGCCACGTGCAGATGTGAGAAGTCTTCTCAGGTTTCCTGCCCACCAGCCTTGCCCCCAGGGTCCAGCTTCCTGAGGAATCACGATTCCTTCCATATATTAGAGGAAACGAGGGAAGTAACCTCTTTGTAAAGTCTTCCCACTAAATCACTCACCACAAATTGGACTTTCCTGTTATGCATTTGTGATGGGGGGGGCGGGGGTCACATTGGGGGAATTCACACTAGGGAGAGAGAAAGGTGAGGTGTCCTGAGCCGAGCTGGGCAGGCTGCCTGGCCTCCCCCGCTCCATCCTGTCGGTAACTTTTCTGGAATCACGTCACTCTGGAACTGTTGGTTCCACTTTATTTCACAAACCATTTCCTTTGGGGAAAAATTAAGATAATCCTTTTGGAGGAAATCCCTGATGTCACAAAATGAGATTTAGGAAGTGGTGTCATGGCCACACACAGTGTCAGGGACTGGGGGCCAAATGGGTGTTTCCCCCTGGAAATGGCATTTGATCAACCGTCTGTGACTTGGCCGTTTTACAAACACTTATTGGAGAATGATGGGCAACGCTGACAGTCCATGAAGAGAGGCTTCCCTCTCAAGATTTAACCGCAACACCAAAGTAAGGATCACGAGTCACACGCAGTGTTTTATTCTTATTTGGTCACTGTCTTCCGATATGGATAAAGTTAAAAGATGGATAACTTTTGGGGACTTCCCTGGTGGCGCAGTGGTTAAGAATCCGCCTGCCAATGCTGGGGACACAGGTCCAAGCCCTGGTCCAGGAAGATCCCACATGCCGCGGAGCAACTAAGCCCGTGCGCCACAACTACTGAGCCTGCACTCTAGAGCCTGTGAGCCACAAGTACTGAAGCCCATGCGCCTAGAGACCGTGCTCCGCAACAAGAGAAGCCACCGCAATGAGAAGCCCGTGCACCGCAACGAAGAGTAGCCCCCGCTCGCCGCAACTAGGGAAAGCCTGTGTGCAGCAACAAAGACCCAATGCAGCCAAAATAAATAAATAAATAAATTTATATTTAAAAAAAAGATGGATAACTCTCATAATCATTGTAATTAAAAGTTATTTTAAATTAAAATGTAGAAGCAGAATCTTTGAAAAGAGAAACAAACTGAACCTCAGTTTGGGAGCCGGTTCTAGTTACTACGCACAAAGCGTGTCTTGGCTTCTGGTAAATGATGACGATATTTTCGTTACAGCTGAGTGATGAGCTGCCCAAGGACGCGTACAAGCACATCTCATTTTATTGCACTTCGCAGATAGCGTGTTTTCTACACACTGAAGGTTTGTGGCAACCCTGCTTCCCGCGAGCCTGTTGGCGCCATTTTTCCAACAGCATTATTTTTAATTAAGGTGTGTATGTTGTTTTTTAGCCATTAAGCTACTGTTACTTAATAGACTACATATAGTGTAAATATGACTTTCCTATCTTCTGGGAAACCAAAAAATTGGTGCGACTTGCTTTATTGCAATACCCGCTTTGTTGGGTGGTCTGCACCCAAACCCACACTATCTGAGGTCTGCCTGTACTTATCTCCCTGGGCCAATTTACACAAGAAGGTGTATGCTTTCTTTAGGGTCTTTCTTAAGTGAGTTCTTTCTAGAAATACTTTCTAGGTACATTTTATGGCACAAGAATGCACTCTGACTGCAGTCAGATTCTTAGAGAGAGACGGACCACAAGGAGGTCTTGTTCTGTGCAGGGCTCTGCGTACACGGCCTGGGGAACGAGCCATTTAGAACCAACCTGCTGCCAGCACAGGGAAGTTCATTACCTATGGGAAGAGGTGTTAGTGCAGCAGGTCTCGGCCGAGGGTGGCTGTGCTCCCCAGGGGAAAGCTGGCAATGTGTGTAGGTACTTCCGGTTGTCACAACTGGGTATGTAACAGGAGAGACCAGGGACATTTCTAACACCCTACGACACACGGGACGCCCCACAGCAAAGTGCCATCCAGCACAGAGGGCCCGCAGTGCGAGGACGGGGACCCTGCTTGGAGCGTGTCCGGGGCTGGCTAGCCGACGGGCACTGCGCGCGCCCCCCTGCCTCATGCTCATCACCCGGGGCTGCCGCACGATGTGGTCGGCAGACTCACAGCATGGGAAAGAGAAAGCGACAGAGAGGGAACAGCGGGCCATGGAAAACAGAGCCTGCCTTTCTTCTCTGTTGCTCCCCTGGAATCTCTCTCCTAAGCCCTTTGTCATAATTACTCATTTCAATAAAAAGATCTTAGATTGGAAAAGCGTATGTCAGGTAAAGAACACCGTATCGGATATTAGAGGACCAAACTAGGTTCGAATCCCATTTACGTCACTAATCTGCTGTCAGCAAGCACATTTCAGCCTCTCTCGGCCTCAAGGAAGAAAAGGCTTTCCAGGGTGTGGAGACCAATGTCTGCTCGGGGGCAGGCTCCCTGGAGCCCCGTAAATGTGCTCTGGGTCTGACCGCCCTGCTCCGGCTTAGGGGCCGGAGAGCCTCATGAGACCTCAGCCCCCGCCCCACCCCCTCTCCCCCTGCTCCCCCCACCCTCCGGCTGTGGGTCACTGGGTCCCCTCTTCCGCTCGGCCCCCAAACTGTCCCCTGCCGTTCCCAGCCCGAAAGCCATCGCCCTTCATGGAAAGAGAGACTCTCGTTCCAATTGCACAGGTTTCTGTCGTAGGGAACGTGTGTTTCTGGGACACAGCAGGAGCTGGAAAAATGCGTTTGAGTGAATAACATGGTGTTCCCTGAGCTGTGTCCCGACACGCTGCGCCGCAGGCTGGCGGGGAGCTTCCCTCCCAGGGGCACTGTTTCTATGGGAAAATGCTGTCGAGTTGGCCAACAACTGACTTACTAACGACCTTTAGAAACCACCGTTCCTTCCTCAGGAATGGCCTGTAAAACGGAAAACGTTTAAAATCTGCTTGTTAGAAGGAGAAATCACACAGTGGCCACATCTCTAGGCATCACGTAACTCTAGGTACGCGTATCATCACAGAGAGACACGTGCAAACGCGTAAGGAGGTGATCACGCGCACGCGCACACACACACACACACGGTCGTCCTCACTCACAGCTCGGGGTCATCCCTAGACCAGGCCCCCCAAAGCAGACGTGAGAAGGGGGTTCCAGGACTGGTCAGAATGAACACAAGCAAGCGCGGGCCACGTGGTGACACCACAGGATCAGGGAGGACAAGTGTTGGGGAAGAGGAGACACAGAGAAGAGCTGGACACGGAGGGGGCGCCCCCTTCCCCCCAGACAAGAGCCCCTTTAGGGCACAGGTGCTGGGAGTCGTGCGTGGGGCAAGAGGAAGCGGGCCGTGCTGGGGCGCGGTGGGGGGCACCTGCAGGGCCGGCGGGCGAGCCCCAGGGACCCGCCAAGCGTCACTGCCCAGGGCCACCCCCGCCCTCGCGCACGGCCTGTGGCTGCCGCCCGCCCCCCCCCCCCCCCCCCCCCCCGGCCCCCCCCCCCAAAAACAGGC